GGGCGCCCCACTCACCCCAATTTTGAGGAACTGGGCTTTAAGAGTGTCTACCAGCAGTGGTGCTGGACACGGTCCTGAGCCTGTGGAGCAGGCTAATGCTCCTGTTCAGGGGGGCTGGTGAAGTGGGGTCTGGCAAGCCCGTAGCCTGAGTTGTCAGTCTCTCTCCCCACAGCTGTTCTGAGGGCCGAGGGCCCACAACTCCTTTTTCTCCACCTCCACTTGCTGAGGTCACCTGCTTTCCTGTGGAAGAGGCCTCAGCACCTGCTGCTTTGCCTGCCTCGCCTACTGGGAGGCTGGAGCCTGGCCTCAGCAGCCCCTTCTCAGACCTCCTGGGGCCCCTGGGTGCCCAAGCAGATGAAGCAGGCTGCAGCGCCCAGCCCTCACCGGAGCGGGAGCCAGAGCGGCAGCCATCCCCTCTTGAGCCGCGGCCTGTGTCACCCTCAGCCTACATGCTGCGCCTCCCACCACCCGCTGGAGCCTACATCCAGAATGAGCACAGCTACCAGGTAGGCAGTGCCCTGCTCTGGAAGCGGCGGGCTGAGGCTGCACTCGACGCCCTGGACAAGGCCCAGCGCCAGCTGCAGGCCTGCAAGCGGCGGGAGCAGCGGCTGCGGCTACGGCTAACCAAGCTACAGCAGGAGAGGGCACGGGAGAAGCGGGCACAGGCAGATGCCCGCCAGACTCTGAAGGAGCATGTGCAGGACTTTGCTATGCAGCTGAGCAGCAGCATGACCTGAGTGAGGGGCCACTGGACACAGGGCTGGCAAATGAGCTGCCTTTCAGGGCTCTAGCCTCTTCCTCAGAATCCACCTGGAAAGGGACCTGATCTGTGCTGCATCCACCAGATCTACTGGATGCCATAATAAAGTGGGTTTTAGGAGGCCCTATATCTGGTTCAGCGGGGGGTTGGGGCCCCTCCCTCAGTACCAGGCTTGTTCCCCCAGACAATGGCTGCAGCCCCTAGAGGTCTCAGATCCTGGAGTCTAAGTTCTGGGCTGTGAGAGCAGAGTCCAGCTCTTGGCCACTCCTCCCCATGCAGCTCCAAGCCCCACAGGGTTCTGTGAGGGATGGGATAGTGTAAGTAGAGGCTGGGGGTAGCACTAGGCATCCTTCCTTTGGCACCTAAAACAGCCTTGACTTAAGCTGGTTCCTTTGAAAACACTCCTAAAACCCAGGCCAGAATGTGCATTTGCAGGGACACAACAGGCTTCCAGCCACAGGTCCAATCTGCCCAACCTGAGTACTGGCCTTAAGACCAGCCCCCCACTCAATACTGGGCCTATCTCATCTGAAAACGGGGACAGGAATGTTGATTTCTGACCTCCTGGGGCTGCTATGCTTGGCAAGTAGTGAGGCTCAACAAATGACATTTCTGGTCCCTGGAGGCCTGGATAAGAGGAAGCATATGGCAGCAGTCCTGGCCTCAACTTGTGTCCCCATTTTTCTTCAGTGTGACTGGAATGGAGAAGGCCTCCCTGCATCTGTAATCATGGCAAACAGCTCAGTGCATGGCGTGATTTTAACTGCACAAGTGACATCTCCCTGCTGGGCCTTGGCCACAACAGCCCCAAGAGCACAGCTGAATTCTTTCTAGTGCTGTGAATTGCCAGTGTTCTGAAATTTGTTTTTTAGAGCCCTTAGTTTGTGGCTTCATTTATTCATAGCATGTCTAGAAAAGATAGTCAGGTGGCCAGTTACAAGGGTCTCAACTGGTCCGCTGCAGAACAGGATTTGCAGATCCTTCCCCAGGGCCCCAGGCTTATTTTCTTGCCCCGGGTTTGCTTCTGGCCTTATGGATGGGTTCCCCTTGCCTAAGGGTGCTCACCTGCCACTGGGGCTCCCCATCCACCTACATCCAGGCTCTTCAACAAGGGTTGAGGAGTGGCAGGTGCTGTGTTTGCATGAGGTATAGCCAGAGGAAGGACATGAGCTCTGAGGCAGGTAAGAGAGATCATTTCTCCCAAAGTGGCTTCCTGGCAGTTGGGGCAGAAGGGTCCCTGGGATTCTTGTTCTCAGGAGGCTGAACAGTGCCAAGTTGGGATGGAATCACACAGGGCCTTCTGTTGGGGCAGGGAAGGACGTTTCCAGCCCATGCAGGAGCCTATGGTGCAGCATATAGGAGGCTAGGGTTACCCCAGGCTTAGGAGGGGAGAAGCCAGTCTGCATTCTTGCCACAGCCCCTTCTCCCATGTGTCTGGGTTGTCTCAGGTGGGAGTGGGTTAGTTGCTGACATGAACAGAATCAGGCAAGACTGATCAATCCCCAGCAGTCGGGCCAAATGGCCAGTTCACAGCTTTAGGAGGGCCAAAGACTAAGGCCAGAGCCCACTGGTGTGGACCACACTGGCAAGGTATGTGTAGTAGGTAGCACTGTTGTAGCTTTAATGAAGGCATGTCTATAACAGAGAATACTTAGGGACACACAGGGACCTGGGGGGCATCTTTGCTGACTTCTCCTTGGCACAGCCCAGGGCCCTGATGCACACATATATATGTGGGATCCTGAAGCCCTTCTGGAATCCAGACCCAGTCCAGAGTGGTTGGGCCTTTGAGCCCTTCACACTCCAGAATTCATCTTGAAGGGCAACAGAATTCATCTTGAATCAGACTGTATCTGCCCATCCCTCTTGCCCACACACAAACTCCAGGTGATAGGAGAGGCCCCTTACACTGACCTTGGTGAGGGTGAGGGGGTGCTCTGTGGCCCCCATGTTGGAGAGACCTTCACAATGACTTTGTGGCCAGATCTACAAGCCATGTTGGGTCCCTGCAAGGTGGGGGACCCAAAGCCAACTCCCTGGTGGGCTCTCCACACCACTGGGCCCTGGCCAGGACCCCTGCCTCCTCCTGCTATCATCACTGAGCTCTAGCTTCCCACCCATACCTCCATCCCAGGAGGGGATGCTGGTGAGGACCTGCCTCACCATCCACTTCCTGTGGGACCTGCTGCATCAGCAGTGAAATGGAGCATTTGGAGCCCCCCATGTCCCCTCAGCTCTCTTCCGAGGCTCTGGGCACCCTGTCTTTTGGCCGGCAGGTCTGACCACTCTGTCACAGGCCTGAGGATTGCCAGCACAGTTTTTGCAGGGGGCAGGGCAGGCATGGTTATTCTCCATGTGTGGGCTGGCACCACCTGGGCCCTCATATGTCGGCACCCAGCTCTGCACACTGCTTGTCGGAGATGTGGGAGGCCAGAGAGTCTATGATGTCAAGCAGCAGCTGCTGGCTGAGGGACCGCAGTGTAGGCAACTTGGAGACCTGCGGGAGGTGACCAAAAGGCCAGAACAGAATGGAACTGGGTTCATGTGAGGGCTGGGTGGGCTCCAAAGACGGTGAGGAGAGGCCAGTGGGTAGGTGGTTCTGCTTGGCTATCCCCAGGGCCCACTGCTGCAGAAGATAGCCAGATTCCAGGCACCCTCCCCCCACCTGGCCGTGGCTGCTGCCGTGGGAGAGTGGGTCCTGAATATGGGGGGTGAGCCAGTGGGCCCTGACCTTGGTGAACTGGTGCACGATGATGTGCAGACAGTGCCGCTTCATGTCCAGTGCCTGAGTCTTGTCGGCTGCCTCCAGGATCTGGAACGGCAGGTTCGTTGAGGTGCTGCCCCACCTCTCCCCAACCGGCCCAGGTGCACGGAGGCCAGCAGGCACCAGGTGTGTTACCTGTAGCACATTCTGCACCGTCACATTCATCTCCAGGTTCTGCTTACAGTATGCTTGCAGTCGGTTGTTGTAAAAGCCATAGTAGTAGGGGGCCGCAAACAGGTAGCTGGGGGAGCTGGTTAAGGAGCTGTTGCCAAAGGTGCCATCCTCCCACTTACCACCCTCCTCCCCGGGGAGAGTGCACCTGGAGCCCCGGCCTGCCAGGGGCAGAGAAAACCTGAGACTGCATCTGCTCAGAACCAGGGGACCCGCCCCACCAGGAGGGTCTGGCATGGGCTTCAGTCCTGGCACTGGCTTGATCTCTACACAGATTCTGACCAAGATTCAAAGAATACCGCAGAATCCTCTTCCTAGGAAAATACTCATATGCATTTTTGCAGAACTGTCCACATCTCCCAGAGCCCTAAAGAGCATCCTTGTACCCCATGTTCAGACCCCCACTGCAGTGATGTGACCAGGAATCACTTTACATCCATCTGCTCACTTGTCACATAGAGCAATGACCGGCCCCTTACTCCCAAGCAGTCACGAGTCAACCCACCTGTCCCTCCTGGCTACAGACACCTCAGTGCTGGCAGACCAACTACTTCAGAGAACCCTAGGAGAGCACCAGGCACCAAGAAATGTATTGGGCTGCCCAAGGTGGGTGCTGGGACCCTCAGTGATAACCCTCGGGGTGAGGATGCAGCGAGTCCTCAGGAGGCATGTTGACCTCACCATAGTAGATGTAGCGTAGCATGGACTCAAAGGCTTGCCTACTGGGCACCATCTCTCCGATGGAGATGTTTACTTGCCCGTCCTCAGGCATGAAGGACCGGAACATGGCCTCAAAGTAGCTGCAGACAAGGCGGCAGAGGCCTGGCTCTCAGAAGATGCAGCCAGTGCCTGGGCCTACCCTGCCCAGCAGCTGCACCCCCACCCACCTGGAACGGGCGGCCAGAATGGCCTTGTGGGCTGGCCGAGGGTGCCCATCTAGCAGCAGCGTGATGTCACAGAACTCCGCGCCTGCCCCATCCAGGTATGCCTTCATGTCCTGGATCAGAGATGTGCCTGGAGGGGCATGGAGGGACCCTGAGCAGGTACCTCCTGCCCCTTAGTAGACCCTGCTTCTGACTTGGGCCTCAGGGCCCCAGGGCACTTCCTCCTGCACATCTGTCTATTTTGCCAGCCTGAATGAACCTCCTCCAGGCCAGAGACCTCATTTTGGCCCTTGAGGCACCACCAGGCCCTGTCCTCAACTCCAAACATAGCCCTCAGGCCCCTGTGCCCCCAGAGCCTGATCTCCGAAACTCAGCACACCCTGTGTGTCTGCTGTCACCCAGACCCAGTGGCAGCGCAGGCCCCAGGGATGAAGGAGCCTATGCCCTCCTTTCCCAGGCTTGGGGACACAGGGAGGCAGTGGGAGCATCTGAGGTCTGCAGACTGTGCTCACCCCTCACTGGACCCAAGACGTGTACGCCTAGAAGAGAAGCTTGGTGACTAATCACTGTGACCACATCAGAGGCTTTCAGACCTGATGTCATTCAGGGCAGGCACCCTTGCCAGAGCGGTGCCCCATGTTGCCTCCAGAAATGGGCTCAGGAGGTTCCTTACCCTCAGGCACACTGTGGAAAGCCCTGTGGGCTTGGTGTTCGTTCTTCCTTTAACTGAGCCTGAACTGCCTCCCTCTTTGCCCCTGTACTGCAGGAGCACCCTGGGGTCCTTTCTGCACCCACCCCTCCCACCACTGCCTGAGAGCCTAGCAGGTGATTCCCAAGTCTCGACCAAGATGAATGCCACTGACTAGCTACTGGCAGGGAAGGGACCAAGCTCCCTACCGATGTCCACAGGCTGGTCTGAGGGGGCGCGGGGCGGCGGCTGCTGCTTCCGCCGAACAATCTCCACAATCAGTGGGGATGAGAGGTGCTCGAACTCCTTCATCATGATCACCTGGTTGAAGTGGGACTCCTTCACCACGAAGTTCAGGCAGTGCTCCTGGGACAGACAGGCCAGGCAGGCAGGCGGGGTCAGGCCTCAGCCCCAACAGGGCACCGGGCAGGGCAAGGGGCTTGCAGCAGTGGGCGGGGTGGGCTGCGATGCACCTTCAGCTGGCCCAGCTGCAGCCTGGCAGCACTCTCGCACACGACCAGCACGTTCTGCAGGTCCACGGAGGCCTCAATGTACTGCCGACACAGCTGCTCCAGGCGGCACAGCTGGAAGCTCAGCGCCAACTTGTACACGTCCATGATGAGCAACACGTCCTCCACGTGGCCTGGACCCAAGAGCTCCCTGAGCCTTAGGGACATTGGGCAGGGGGAAGGGAGGACAGGGCCCTGGGCTCCCTCTGTAGACAAGTGTGGGTTGGGGCCACTAGGCAGTAACTGAACCATGCCCAGGTAAGCTCGGCCTCTGAGCCTCAGGCTACCCACCTGCAAGTAGGACTGCTCACACCCCACCCTGTTCCTGCTCCACCCCAGCCCAGGCAGACCTTTCCTTGGGTATTTGATCTTGTCGGTGTAGAGGAACTGCATGAGCACCTCGAAGGGCCGGGCCTCAGCCTCTCTGATGGCCACACGCAGCAGGGGCAGCCGGGCCCCAGCCCCAGCCACACCAGGGGCCTCCCTGGGAGCCAAGGCTGCCTCCTCCTCCAGCTTCTGTGGGAAGAGAAAGGGGAGTTTAAGGGGCACTCCATAAATGCTGCTGCCCAGGCAGGGCCTGACAGGGCAGCACCTCACCTGGGCCAGTCGCTCCTTCGCCTGTACTATCTTCCTGCGGAGCCAGCGACTTCGTGCTGTCACAATGGCCACGTGGCCCTGAACACACTCCTCCTTCTGCAGCAAGAATGACACCTTGGTGAAAGGGCATAAGACTCTCGCCCCACGGGGCACAGGCCCAGCAGGCGAGGGGAGGGGCCTGGGGACTCCAGGTACCAAGCAGCAGCCAGCGTGCCTCTGGGTACAAAGGCCCCACTCCTCCGCACAGTGGGTGGGGCTGGGCACGTGAAGGGCACCCACCTCACCCAGCACAAACTCCACGTCACAGAACTGGCGGCTCTCCCACAGCCGCCCATAGTCTTCATGAAGTGTGCACTTGGGGTAACAGGAGAACTGCAGGAGGAGACCCGGGTGTTACCAAGTAAAGACACTGTCATCCTGGCTTTGCCCCTCCAGGCCACGGGTGCCTCTGAGGCCCCAATGCCAAGCTCAGCTCAGCCCGGCTCCCTCCACTGACCCAGGCGGCTCCCAGACCTCTACTGGCTCTGCTATGAGCACCCACCATACTTGCCCAACTGCACCCTGCACTGAGGCTCCTAACTGCCTCAGCATAGGGTCCTCCTCTCCACCCCAGGTGCCCGACTCCTCAGAAAGGCTGCCATCCCACCAGGTACAGTCCTGGCTCTGGACACCCTTGGACAAGCTCCACCCCTACCAACAGGGTCTATTTCCATCATCAGGGCTTGTTCACCCTGGCTGGCTCCACTGCAGAGTCAGTTCATGAGATAGCCACCTGTTCCACAAGTCCGTGAGCCCCACCTGGAACCTGTACATCTCCCCACTGCGGATGTTGTTGTCCACGGTGCCCCCGAAGATGTACATGGCATCCGAGATCACAGCAGCCGCATGGAAGAGCCTTCCGCTGGGCAGCTGGGTAGAGAGGGGGACAAGTCAGCAGGGTGGGAAAGGGCGGGGCTGGGTCTCCAGCAGGGGGCTGGCTGAGGCCTGGAGTGGGCCATATTGTAGCCAAGGACATGGCACCACTGGCCTTGAAAGAGGGGCTGGAGCAGGCCCTGGGACACATACGTAGGCACAAGGCAGGAGGCAGGGCCTGTGTAGGTAAACAGAGCCACAGAGTGGATACAGCAGGTGCTCAGTCTCACATGCTGCACATGGCCCAGCCAGCAGAGCATGTCTGTGTGACCCAACATGTACCTCTCTGAGCCTCAGTTTCCCTACTTTTGAGATGGGCTGATCACAGGCCCGGCTTCAGAGGGTGAGGGAGCGGTAACAAGGGTATCGGCCCTCACCTCTGAGGCTGGTGGGGAAGGCTGCTTGGTGTTGGTGGTGCCAAAGTCCAGGCCAAACACATCCCTGGACTTCTTAAAGCCACCCCGATCCTCAGAGGACAGGGCAGGCACCTCCTCAGAAGCAGCTGCTCGTTCTGGCACCTCGGCCCCACCAACCTGGTGGGAGACGTGGGGGTGCAACCAGTCAACAAGAGCCAGGCAGGCACCAGAGACTGCTCGCCACCCCCACCTAGAGTGCTGTGGGGACAGGTTGGGGGCAGGGAAGAGCCACAGGATGAGGGCTGAGTTGGGAGCCAGAAGAACATCCTCAGCACAATGCAAACATGGTGGGAAGTAGAATCTTACAAGCCCACAGGCTGCAAGATGGAGAACAGGCAAAGAGGCCCAGGACCCAGGGTCGGGCCAGGGTGGGTGTCCAGGCCTGAGGGCATCCTGGCCTTACTCCTTCCTGCCGTCTGTCTGGAGCCCCAGGAGCACCCTGAGGCTGTGAGCAGGTGGGAGCAGGTGGGTCAGGAACACACCCCAGGCCACAGGCCCTGGGTCCCCTCAGCAACACCTGGCAGTGCTCACTTCGCTGTCCGAACTGGGCTGGACAACCTCCCAGGTCTGGAAGTCCACATCATAGCAGTGTAGCTCATTGGGCAGAGTGTTGTCGGCTGCGCCCCCAAACACGTAGAGGTGGCGGTCAAAGGCCACCATGGTGTGCCCATAGCGCCGCTGAGGGGGTGGCGGGGAGCCCCGGAGCAGGTGCTCAGTGGGGATGCGTGTCCACCTGGAAGTACATGACAAGGAACCAGTGCCAGGCAGAGGCTTCTGCTCCCCTGTGTTCTCCACCTGGGCGCTGAGCCCCCCCCCCCACACATAAGGCCTAGTCTGCGAAGTGCCCTGCAACCTCTAGGAGACCTTCCCGGGCCGAGGGAGGGTCTACAGTGCATGTGCCCAGTGTCCCTTGTCACATCCTGCTTGGAACCAGCTCTTCCCACCTCTTTGTGTGGGGGAACAAAGGGTGCAAGCATGAGGCTGGGTGGGAGGCTGTCTGGGGGCTGGCGTGGGGCTGACCTGTGAGGATAGTGGCACCACCTGATGGAGGAGCAACCGGAGTCACTCAATACCCATGAGCTGCTGCTGGTAGCTGCGTCTCCCATGGTTTTCTTCCTACCCCGTCCCCTTCACCCCAAGCTGCAGCTCTGCCCCAGCTCTGGCCTGGGCCCCTCATCCTGCAGCCCTCTGCCCTCTAGATGCTCCTTCCTCAGCCTGCCCCACAGGTACCCCCAGGCCCCTGTGCAGCCCTCAGGCCCTGTGTCTTTCCCCAATACTGGCACCTCCCTGAGGGCCCCCTTGCAGATCAGCCACCTGGCCAGAGCATGCATGTCTGTCCCAAACCCTCCCCAGTGTGGTTATACACTGCCTGCCCCAAGCCCTCTGTGACACCCACTGTCCTGAGGGCCAAGGCCAGGTGCAGCAGTGGGCCTGTGTGCAGTGTGGCTCTCCTCCCAGGCCTGGCCACCCCAACACAGGCGAACTGGACAGGCATCAGCAGGGCTTCCCCTGCCCAGGATGCCCAGCCTTCCTCCTTCCCAGCTGACACCCTGGCATCTAGGGCAGCTCCAAGTCCCCTCCCAAGCCTCCCTGACCTGCAGCTGTTTCCTCTCCTCTACTAACTCCCAGAGCCAATGCCTGGCCCTCACCTTAGTCCCCATCACAGGGGGCAAGGCTGGCCAACAGTCAAGGACAGCATAATCTGGAAGCTCTCAGGGCCCAGGCACCCCTCCAGTCTTCTGCTACCATATGGGATCTATGCGAGCCACATTTGTTACTGGTGGCACTGACCATGCCATTCTCAGGGCTGGGGTGTTCTTTACTCAAAGAGGGAGCCACCCAGGCCCAGTCTGCTCGAAGACACCACACACCCCACTCCAGGAGGGAGGGCAACTGGCCCTACTTTACTTTGGAGCTCAAAAGGATAGCTCCAGATGCAGGCGTGGGGTGCCGGCCAAGGGCTCCACCACCAGGGCACTCACATTTTGTCCTTGAATTCAAACTGGAAGAGGTTGTTGGTTATCTTGGCTCCACTCTGCCCTGAGAACACAAACATCTTGTCCCTGCACACGGCCACCGGGAAGTTGCAGCAGGATGGTGGGATCTCACCGCTCTGGACCACCTGTGGGGGCAGGAGGCAGCTCAGCTCGGGGCCCTCATAGGACCCAGCACACATGTCTGTGCTAACATCGCTGAGCTGGTGCTGCTTTTATTCCTGAAGTTTCTTCTGTAAATGAGGATTCATATTTCACTTTTTGCAGAATATAAAGCCTCACCTTACCCTCCTAAATGGAGGCTAAAATCATCACCAAAGGAGAAAGAAACCCCCCAAGAGAAAGACAATAGAGCGATCGAACAGATTGGTCTGGAAACAGCAGCCAGCAGGACAGCGGGGGGCCTGCTGTCCTTGCTATGTTCAGATAAGGATGGGTTATATCAGGACTGTATCAGTCACAGTTACACCAGAACCTGTGATAGGCTGCTACCCAAAGCATAGAGCCTTTAGTCACTAGGGAACTGACACTGGAACCGGAGTGAGGGCCAGGAATCATGGTGAGGGTCAGCGGGAAGGGTGAGGCAGAGGACAAGGCCGGGCTTTGGCAAAGGGAACAAAGCAGCCTCCACGCCAACCCACCCCAGTCCCTGAGCCCCTCACCTCCCTGCCTCCCCCCTGCCCTCTCTGAACCCTTCACATCCCTGCCTCCCCACAATCCCACCCCAGCCCCTCAGCCTCTTACCTCTTCCCAGCACGTGAGCTCTCGGTCCTGCAGGCCAATGGTCCACATGTCGTTCAACCTGCATGAGAACTAAGGGGTCAGGATCCCCACCACTGGGGCTGGCTGTCAGGCTGGGCCTGGGCGTGGCCAGGAGGGATGGCTCCAGGGAAGAACCACCCATCACTTGGGACTCTGACCAGGGGCCTCTGGGGCAGCCATGAAGCCGGAGCTTCAGTTGGGGGAGGGGGGCTGTACACTGAGTCCCTGTTGTGCCAATCCCCTGCCCAGCCCAGGCAGGAAAAAGAGGCTTCATTCAAAGAAAGGCCTTATTCCCAACATCTAGGGCAGGGGACAGGGTCAGCTCCTTGGCTGATCCCTGGTGTTAGAACCTCAGAGAGGCTCCGCCCACAGAAATTGTACTGTTTAGTTTCCATAATGCTGAAGTTTGGGGGAATGAGCACATGCTGCTTTTATAATCAGAAAAATGCAGCAAAGCCATTTTGCTGAAATAAGGAGGAAAATGCCTATGACATAGGAAAGAAGTCTGTTGCTCTCCGTAGGCGAGGGGCCAAGTCAGAGCCCTGCTGCTGCTACCCCCCTGCTCACTCGCCCCTTAGGATCATTCCTTGCTGTGGGCCAAGTATTCTCACCCCAGCAATTCAAGGGGCCACCTCTCCCACCCCAAGCTCAGATGACCCCCAGCTATTTGCTCTGGAGACCTGCACAACAGCTGTACAAACACGGGCCAGGCTTGACACCCCTCAGACGACCTGGGAGGGGCCTCAGGGGTGCCAGTCCTTTTGACCAATGTGGGGGCAGGGAGGGGGCTCCATTCAGTGGCCATCACCTTCATCCTGCCTATCTTTCTCTCCCCTCCCCCAACCCCCACCCACACACCCACCCTCCCGAGAAACCCCC